CTACATTTTTTTTAGGGGCCCCGTGGGCCGTATAGAATGGCCTTGCGAGCCAGATCCAGTCCACGGGCCGTATTCTGCCCACCCCTGAGTTAGGTCAAGTATTTCTGCAGAGCCCTATAGAGATGTACCTAAGAGCTACTAGAGGTGGTGTGCAGATGAGCCCTGTAAGTGCTAAATAATGCTAAGTATCATTACTATTACTATTATCCTATCTTTGCCGTTAAGACTATTACCGTCACCCAACCACGAAGAGTAGAGATGGCAATGAGGAGAAAGGTTTTAAGCTATAGCACTGGCCCATTGGACATGCCTGCCATCCTGCAGGAAGCTTTTCTTTCACATACACACATTCAAGGTTATTCAAGAGAATTCATGCCACAGGCTAGGACAGAATCACAGATGCAGACTGGTTGTACCCCGGATAAAGCTGTATTAGCACATCCTGATGATCTTGTTGCTATGTTTACAAGGTGAATGGCTCTATGGGTTGTATTTATCATTGTGTTTTTAAAGGCAGCTCATTTATTTGAGAGACAAAAAACTGCAAGATGGTAGAAGGCAGCAAGGGGAGGGAAAAAATCACTCCCAACAGACAGCAATTAAAGCAGAAGATTTAATGTCAGAGCAGCACCTAGCTGGTTGCAGCATGATGGGAACACTTCCTAAAGGATATTGGGGTAGGAAAAAAAATGCTTGGTATCACAATCAAAAAGTCATTTCAGACCAATGCAGAGCTGCCCGGCCTTGCTATACTGTGCAATCTGAACAGGGCCCTTATCTGACAGCATAGACAGAACTGGGATATAATCATTACATTTGAGTGTCACCTTCCTTTAAACCTCTTCGCAGTATCTGTTGCACTAAAGGAAACTGAATCTGCCAGCATTCTCCGGTCTTTCTAAAGGAAAGATTTGAAGGAAGAGAGAGAGACCATGTCCAAGCAGAAACTAGTCACCCCACCATATGCTGTACCATTCTTGTTCCATCACAGCAAGACATGGTAAGAGTCATCAAAGGAGGAAACAAACAGTGCACTGCCCCTGGATTGGTAAACTGCATTAAATATATTATTACGATAAAAGCTCCGTCTTGTTTTCAGGACTATTAGAAGCGCCCGCTGCTGTGCAGAAGAATAGCAGGATATAACAGCGAGAGCACTACAAGAGCCCTGTAACCAGGAACATTTCAGACATCAATAGTAAGGATCTGATTCAGCACAAGCACACACTCTCCTTTTCCTTATTCTCCTTTGAATAAGACTGCATGTAATCATTGCTAGCTCTTCTCTAGCAGGAGATCTAAAAGCACTTTACAAAGATCAGCGGCATTATCCCCAATGTTATACCTGAGGAAACTGAGGCACAGAGAAACAAGGTCATTTGCCCAAAGCTGACCCAGCAGTCCAGTGGCAGAGCTAGGATACCTGAGCACCATTCCCAAGTCCAGGGCTACTGGTTTAACTACTAGATTACAATGAGACAACATTAGGGAACCAACTGACTGCTTTAGTATTTGCTGGCCGAATAAAAAGCAACTCACAGTAGTAACAGTAGTACTTAGCACTTGCATGCTCTATCCCCACAATTTTAGAGGTGGGGGAAACAGGAAAAACAAGATCCATAAGCAATTTAGATCCTGGTTTCCTGCCTCCTAGTCTATTGTCTTATTCCCTTGGCCTATGCTGCCTCACAGCAGGTGGTAGCACGCACAAGGCAGTTTTGGGATGCACAAAACCAGACCAATGCGTGCACATTCACTTGTGTACAAATCCAGGTGAGGCCACTGACCATTCTTGATTAATCTCTCAAGAAAAAGATTGCTTCTCTGACAAACTGGTACAGACCACAATGCTGCATCAAACCATCAGCTCCCAGATTGCATCAACAAAGGTGGCAGAGTGACATTCTTCAGTACGGGATACGGCAAGTCTGGTTACATTTTATTAAACTATTTCGTGGGGGAACTAGCAATACTCTCATCTCCTGACAGGGCCTGAATTGTGAGCTTTTCAACCAGCGTCCTGGCTTCTGAGACAATCACGCAGTCTCCCTCCTCTAGATCGTAGGATCAGACTTCACTTCAGGACTTGTAGGTACCTTTAGGAACCACCCGCCAGCATTCAGCTTCTCCAGGTCCGTCCAGTTGAACATGGATGACTGTTCATAGGCCAGCTCTGGAAACACCTCCTCCACATTTGTCGTTCTCCTGAGCGTCTCGTCGTGCATAAGGAATGGCACTCCGTCGTAGCTGCAAAAACACATGGGCAACTCCATTAACTCATGGGCATTAAGCATAACAAAATACGATTGCTGATTCTGTGCTACTGTCAAAAGCTATCTTCAGCTACAACCAAAAAGATTTAAAATGTATTATTAATCCCACTGGTTTTGTACTATTGCTGTGGCACACAGTAGTATGGGAGATGTTTCACATGTCTGTAAAACAAGACCAACCCAACCCTCAAAGTTTTACATCTAAAAACGGGATGACGGCTGAATTTTTCAAAAAGCACTTAAGTTACTTAGGTCCTTCAGTCCCAAATGGGTGTCTATACACATGCTCTGGGCGGGGGGGTGGGGGAAGAGGCTTAATTAGAGCAGCTTCCACAGATGCTCTGATTAAAGGTCCCACAGCACCACGTGTATTCAGCATCCTGCACTTCAAAATGGCAGTGCGGGCACTTTAACTAAA